TAATCGTACACAATCATTTTATTTAAAAGGCGTTTATATTGTTCAGCTCTCTTTTAAATGGTGTAAACTTTTTATTCAACTAACCACCTGTGAAAGTTGAACAGTGTAAACGTTTTTTAGCCTTAATCAATAATATTCAATACGTCTCTCCCATGGCCCCTAATTACGTAGTTCGCTCTGTCATTTATAATTCCACTCCACTCCAATTAGCCTTCAAATTACGTAATTCGCCATACAAAATTTTGAGAGCGAATTACCTCATTTGTTGGTAATTCAGACTAAATTATCATGCGAGTTACAAAAAATCGCTGCGGTCTTTAATTTTTATCGGAAATTTATCGAAACCAGTTCACAAATCAAAACCGGCACTTTTTCTAAGTATGAAAAGTAAAGTTTATACATGTGTACATCACCAATTTAATACGGAAACTTATACATATTTAGCAATAACTTACATTTTGCACAAATTTTGTAGCGAAGAAAAAAAAAAACAAAGCACAGAAATGGGATAATTCGCGATTGTAATTCGAGGAGCGAACAAAGTAATTCACGGAGCCGTGGGACAGCCGTATTACCCTTTACAACACTGAAACACTAGCTAACGACGCGTCTTCACAGGCGAAAATTGTGCCTACCATATGCCATTTTGTTTGCCAGATATGTATAAGTTTTATCAGTGGCAATATTTGTGTGTGGGGATTTTTTAAATCTTGAAAAAAGCATTTGTGCGCAAATATGCTTAAAAAATAAAAAAAAGTGTTTTTTCACATCCATGTACATAATCAAGAATAACACAGGCCCAGCGGCGGATCCAATTTTTTTGTGGGGGGTGTTTTCCGAGAAAAATTTCCACTTATTCGTTTTACCTTAAACGAGTAATTCATGTATATTTATATATATGCGTATATAAGGGTGATCCAAAATAACTAACCCAGCGAAATTGTGGCCTTAAAATTACCTATTTACCGAGAAAATTTTTATTTAAATTTTTCAAAGTGTCGGTGGGAATTTTAAATTTTCCATGTAAGAGCGTGTGTGAAGCGGTAACAAAGTTCGCGGAGAGTAAATTTTTGACAACTATGAGGTGAATAAAATTTCTGTAGCTCATGAGGCTGGTGAAATTTTTGACAAATGCATAGAAAATGTTGACAATCGCAAAGATTGTTGATGTGCGTAATTTTTCGTTAAACAAAAGCGTAAATTGATGAATTGCGATCAACGATGGTAAATGTTTTCTTAAAATATTAATTTCACTTCAATTTGTAATATTTTATTCCGCATAAATCTGCGGCTATAAAAAATTTACTGCTGTTAAAAAAGTTTTCATTTCACACAGCAGATTGGCAAAACTGACTCACCTTAGTAAAAATATTATTCACCAGCTTTCCCCATAGAACTTTGTTACCTATTCACACACGCCCTAAGTAACATGTAAAAAAGTTTGTTTTCATTAAAAATGTTATACATTTTGAACCGTTAAGTTTTTGTGTTTTCAATATGGAGAATTTGTCCTCCTAGAATGTTCAAAACATTCTGGTTACCTTACCTTAACAGTATTCAGAAGAAACACATCGTACTCAGGGCTGGCAACTTGGCTCAAACCGTGCCATATTTTACTACAAATGGCATTTTATTTTACAATTTGGTACAAACTGCCAAATTTGCACTTTCGAAAATTATTATTTTTGTCAACTAAAATTTTCTAATTTCTATAGTGTATACAACTGGTTTATATTACTTTGCATTGGACTTTTGTTTTAGAATGTGTTTGTAATTTTAATGCTAAATGAGAAGAACTAAACAGAATGATAGCTTTGTTGGCACTTTTATTTTTCTATATTTGGCACATTTTGGCACTGTTTATCCTCAACATGGCACTTCATAGCTAAGTACAGTTGGCAACTCTGAGAAGTATTTCTCTCTAGCGCCTGCATACTTCTTATTTACTACCGTCGGCCAACTTTAACAAATTTATAGTGGTTTTACGTTCTTTGGCAAATTACGCTCTGTTAGCCATAAATTTTACTATGTTTTGACCGCCGTTGTATCAGTACCCCCGGGACCATATCGGGAATTCATTTATATTTTAAATTGCATTGTCATCGCCCAGCAAAAAACACGATTACCACAGAAGTTAAAATAGAATTGAATTAGGCGATGGGAATCGCTTACCCTTTCGCTTCAAGAAGGCATTAATTTAATATGGGCATGTCATTAGCCATAAGGCCTTACCCGCAGCATTACTTTCGCGCGAACGGAGAACGCATGGATAAACAGAATTCAGAGAAGCAAACAAAGAATGCCTTACAGAGAAACTAATGTAGAATGCCTAGATAAGTACATAATTATGTATATTTAATTGAAAACAGAAAATAAAGATTGTTCTAAGAGATTAAGATTTTTATAAGTCAGTTTTCATACATACATATGTATGTATTTAGGTATTTAGATCTTACTTAAAAATCGGTATGTACATACATACATACATATTTAATTAAACATAAAATTGTACTTCCTCACTCATTAACTTGACTTCAACTTCGCTGTATTTTGCTTGTAATTAGACAAAGCTAAACATGCATTTCGATATAGTTTGGTCGGAATGAATTTATATTAATTTTCTTGTATAATTTACTGTTTTTAGTCCGCACTCAAAAAATTATTTCCTTCGGACACTTACTTTCAAAGAAAATCAAAAATTTCCTAATCACTGCCAGAATTTTCAATTCTTGATAAAAAAAAGTATTTGGAATTATGCAACAAAATTTACATAGTGTATCTACTCGGATATCGGAGATACAGACGCTAAATTTAAACGTAGAATACGTGGTATGGTTAAGAGCATATTCAAGTCAAAAGCGATAATAATTTCGATAGCAAAATCGATAAAAACATCGATGATAATATCGATATCAAAATCGATAACAAAATCGATGAAAAAATCGATAAAAACATCGATCATTATACCGATAAATTCCGAAAATATCGATAGCAAAATCAATAAAAATATCGATAAAAATTTCGAAAACAAAATCGATAACAAAACCGATAAAATATCGATTATTATATCGATAAGTCCCGAGAATACCGAATATGTCTAAAATCCCGAAATAGTTCCCAGACTGAGTCTCTGTGCCTCTGTCTATATCCTTTTCTCTAAAACTACCTTTATTTTAATCTTTCTTCCTCTATCTTCATCTATACTTTTATCGGTATCCTCATCCTCATCTTTTTCTTTATATTTATATTTATCTTTGCTTTTATTTTTATGTTTACCATGTTCCTAATACACATATTCCCCTTCACCTTTGCCCTTATATAAGTAAAGTGTTTAAATGTACCTTGGTCTTCATTTTTGCTTTTATCTTTACGCAACTTTGTTTTTGTTTTTATTTTTACCTTTGTCTTTATCCTTTTATTTATCTATGTACGTACTTTAGTTTTATTCTTGGATTGGTCTTTTCTAAGGGTTGTTTCACTTCAAAAAGTTTTCGCGTATTATGCATAAATGTGTTCATACATACATATATGTATGTACATACATATATACTTAATATGTATAGACATACATACATAGACTACTAAAAAATAGAAACAGATCCACATTAACTGCAATCATGTATGTATGTATTTAGATATGTACATACGCTGCGATTAGGCTATAAATATTGCGCCATCTGTTTATCAAAAGCCGAAATATGTACTTACGCACTCATACGCAATTTTTGTCTCCTTCCCAACGCATGCACGTGTTTGCGAAACGATGACACAGTGATTTTGTATGGGAAATCATTTATGCCCATATATTGAAATCAAATAAACATACTTAGAAGATATCAACCAATACTTCCTATATACCAAACGAAAGCAAAACTCTTGAATTTTTGAATTAAGAAAAAAAAACAAAATCATTCGAGCGGTTTTCGAGCATTTTGGTAATGAAAAAAACTGATCAATATTTGTTGAATTTATATAAAATCTGTACACGACAATATTTTTACTGCTCCAAAGGACCTATATCCCGAAAATGAAAGTTATATCTGCAAATCATAAGCTGCTGGAGCACTTTAAAGGCTCAAAATTGACCCCAAAATAAGCCAAAGTTTACCGTTATTTTTACGACAGAAGCCGAATAGGTTACTTACAAAAATGAATCTGTCGATAGGTGCGGAACATTCTCTTTGAAAGCCCCTACTTTCCTTTGAAAACGCTTCGTTTGTTCTCGTGAAGCTCTAAAAATTACAACTACAACATTTCAGCATAGCCTCCATATCGAACGTAAGACGTATTCTACGTCAAAAAAAATTGTCCGCGCTCGAGAATGTCAAGGTAATGTTTTTTTTGTTGCAAGTTTGCGACTATCCGAATCCCTTGCGTCACGCTTAAATGGTCAGATTATTGAAATGCACACTCTTAAGCATGTAATTAACCAACCAGATGTTCATCTAACGCGCCCGAGTAAATCCCCGAACCCCCTCTTGGGCTTCCCTATTACAAAGTACGCACGAAGCCCAAGATATAAAAGAAAATAGAAACACACGCTGGAAAATAAATACAGTTTTGCAAATATTTATTTGAATTCTACGTTATTTCTAACTTTTAAAGCGTGCTTGTTATACATGTGGACCCAACATTGCTCCAAACGTGTTGGTTCAATAATTCAGTACTACAAACAGACGTCTACCAAATAATGAGGTTAATATGAAATACGAAAGAGATCTGCTGCTTTCATTTAATTGTCGCATGTAGATAAATTAACGCAATTCTTTAACTGGCGAATCAAATGATATTGCGTCTTTCTATAGACTATTTGCCAAATAGTTGTTCGAAGAATCGCACAAAAAAACAACCACGCTAGCTAGGACAAATTAGCCCAAGTGTTTTGCCAACGGTTTTTTTTAAGTTAATATAAATTTGAAATAAACAAAACAGGCCACATATATTCCATATAAATTTGGTAGATTTCTTCTAAAGCTTTAGTAGGAACTACTTGTGAAACCATGAATGTTTTAGTAATCATCTCATTTTTGGTCTGCTTAATAGCTGCCAGCGACGGTGAGTTGCAAAACGAAGTTGGTTTTAACAAAATTTGTGATTTATGTGTTAATTTTTGCATTTACATCCATAGCCCGTCATAAATCTAGCTGGACGCAAAGTCGAACAAGTCCAGATGAAAACCCTCACGTTGCTACCCTTATCACACCCAAGACTACAAAACCGGAGCTCGTGGGATCGTCGGAAAATAAAGTTTTTTATGATCCGTTTGGCCGTTGGCAAAAGAAACATAAGAGTATTTCATCTTTGTTTCCATGGAATTGGCATTGGCCTCACAAGAAAACGACGACTACAACAACAACAACAACAACGACAACAAAGAAACCATGCCAAAGATGTCGCAGAACAACAACAACAACGACAACAGAACCACCCTGCCATGATGACGATGATGAGCCAAATACACTTGCACCGCAAAATAATACCACGACTGCTGCTCAAGAAACAACTACTACGGCCCAACAAACAACCACTGCAGCTCCAGAAACAAGCACTGCTGCACAAGTAACAAATAGCACTGCAGGCACTAGGGCAGACGAAGTAGACATATCAACTACCCCGCAACCCGAAGTGCTGACGAGAGCTCAGAGCTTCCTGAAGTCCCTACCACCGCAGAACCAGAGGTTGACAGTACCACCGCGAACGAGAGAGCTCAGAGCTTCCTGAATTTCCTACCACCGCTGAGCCAGAGGTTGACAGTACCACCGCTGACGAGAGCTCAGACCTTCCCGAGTTAACGACAACCTCTTTGCCACAGGATAACACAACACTTCCCGAAAGTACTACAGTTAAACCTTGTGGCAAATGCCCTAAGGAAGACAGTCCTTGTTGTAAGTCAAAAATATAATCGCATTATTGTTCTATTCATATTCCTCCCAAAGCGGTTCCGTTGCCATCAAAAAATCCAATTGTTCTGAAGCATCAGTCGACAATTCGCAATTTGATTTACTTTCGAAACTTTTTGCACAGCTCAAATTAAAGTTGAATGCAATTTAGCGAGTAGTTGATTAATTTTTAGAAAAGTAATAAATCAAGCGTATGCAAATATGTGCATATGTTGTATTATTTATTGAAGTATTCCTTTTTTCTAAAAGCCCTTAGAAAACTATAGCTGGTTAAGTTAAATACCTATAATAATAAAATATGTTGGAAACCTCTTAATGTATTTGTGTACTTTACGAGTATGTATTGATATTGGAATTGTAGGACACATCAGCTTGATTTCTTCGGAATTTCTCTGCCTCAAAAGTTGCTTCTTAATTACTAATACCACTGTCTTCAATAAATAAAAACAAATAATATATATGATTACTGTGATCGATTTCGTTCTTTACGTTGTTTTTAAAACTTTTTTTTAGAACAATATTTTTTGTATTTTTATACAACAAAAAACAAAGAAATATACAAATATTTACAACGAAAGCTTAATAGCATAACAGCTTTCGTCTGGGTTATTTACGTATATTTTATTTGGCTCTACAACCGTTTATTGAGACCAGAAACACATTTGCTTCCGCAGACTATTTGAATTACATACATATATGTATGTATGTAGGTGTAGGCAGGCCTTTCTGCACTTCGTACTGTTCGTTGTACATTCACGAGTGCCTAGTCAAAGGCTTTTTTCACCGCTGCTTCAGCATTTTCGCCTTCACAACATTTTCTAAAAATTTTACAAATTTCCGGTAATTTCATTTTTTAAAAGGGTTAGGCCTATAAATATGTAGCATATTTTGCTGCAAACTTTCTTTGCAATTTTGTTGGTTGGTTGGTAGTAGCTTTAGCACCAGCACAAAGTTGGCTTTGCATTCGTGTGTCGAATGAAGTTATTATTG